GCCTTCGTTATGTGGGCCCCCAGGACTGCAGCCCCGCGAGAGCGTCGATATTATAAGAAAAAAATATATAGAAATAGAAATGAACAAATTAAATTTAAAAATTAAAAATAAATTAAATTAATTTCTTCAGTTAAATCAAATTAAAAAACATATTCAGCTTTGGCTGTTATATAGAGCCGTATACCCCTTCACTGTCTATACACCGCAACTTCATACACAGCAAAAACCCCTCTCTCCCTGCAGCTAGCCACAGCTAGCTGGGGTTCGTTGCAGTTTCTTTCGAGCGTTTACAGCCTATCTACTTATCTATCTTCATGCAGATTGCTTGCCTCTATCTTCTAAATATGTAATATAATTAATATTTCATTGGGCGTCTTCTCCTTCACTTCTTTTGCTTTATAAGGCAGCATTTCTCTCTAGGGGTTGTGCAGACGTCCCGCGTTCGATTCCTACCTTTTTAAATTAATTTAAATTAGAATTTGTTTGTGTCTACACTTGGAGGCCACTCACAGCATTTCTTTTTAGTTTGGTTAAGTTCGTTTAGCTGCTTCTCAATAAACCTCAGGGTCGAAGTCAAACAGCGGCAGCTAGCTGCAGCTAGCTAGCTGTGGGGCTGCATACCAGCTAGCTGTCAATAGTTGTCTCTAGGTAATGGCTAGCTGGAGCTGGATAGCGGTTAGCTGCTACTAGGTATCAGTTAGTTGCAGCTAGCTGGGGCTAGAAAGCAGTTAGCTAGCTGGGGCTAAAGTGCAGCTAGCTAGGTCGCGATAACAGCTAGCCAGAGATAGATAGCAGCTAGCTGCTTTCTAGCTAGCTGCTTTCTAGCTAGCTGCTCCTAGGTTACAGCTCGACAGCTAGCTGGAGCTTGATTGTAGCTAGCTGCAGCTTCTTAATATTTTTAAAGAGTTAGTTAAGCAGGGCTTGGATACATACATATGTATATATATATATATATATATATATTTTGTATCTATATTGAGCTCATAAAGGCATATTATTAATATTAATAAAAAACAATTAGAGGATTTTGTGTTTTTATTCTAAACTCTCGAGGCAGAATCCGCGAAGACGTCTCTAAACAACACGGGGAAATGGCGTTGTATGCCTAAGGTTTAGGGTTTAGGGTTTTAGCGTTGAGGGCTTAGGGTTTGTCTTCAGGGTTTAGGGTTTAGAAAAAGCTTGAGGTGTGCGGTGAGCACAGTATATTGTGTTTAATGAGAAAAACGGAGAGAGGGAGAAGAAAGAAGAAGTCAAGCTTGAAAATAATTCAAATTCATATATTCACATACAGACACATTATTATAAACCCTAAACCCTAAACCCTAGCCCCCCCTTGCACAACTGTTCTCCCCTCAATACAAATGCCCCGTAAAATCCTAAACCCTCAGCGTCTTATTTGATAGCTATTTGATAGCCGAAGCAAAGGAAGAAGCTTTAGAAGCGAAGGAAAGCGGAAGAGGGTTTATATATACGTGCATGCATACATACAAGTTAACAAGGCAAAACGGTATTACATCTACGATCTGCAGAGCCCCAAACCCTAAACCCTAAATCCTAAATAAGTAAATGCATAGACTGAACACTCAAAAGCTCAATCAATAAATGTTAGCCGCCTATACACCGCATTTTTTTCTTCGATTTGCTTCCATTGTGTTACATTGGCTCTAATCCAAACAAACAAATAACCGTCTATATCGGGAATCGAGTTAATTTTTTTATGAAAAAGAGACAAAACTACCTTTGCACGAACCACCGGGGAAACAACTAACTGCAATACATGCAGCGATTTAAAGAAAGGTTTCTTTTATTATATGCCACAACAATCTGCATCTGTGCATAAATAGACATGTTTTAAGAATACGCTGCGAGAGATGTGCAAAGAAAGAATCCCCTCGACATATGCACAAAAATGATATAGTTGTTTCGCCATAGGCTATAGTTATCTGATCTTCTGTACGTACACCTCAGAGCTTTCCTTCCAACCAACGAAAAGCAGAAAAGAAGCAAAAAACAACCCTAAGCTCCACAGAAAAAAGCCATAGACATCAGCCTTTAGATCTAAGAGGATAAATCGAAGGAATCCGATATCAAATAACAGCCACAAGCCCTAAACCCTAAACCGTAAACCCTAAACCCTAGGTTTTCGGTGTCGGCAGCAGCTCTGTGCGGCGAAGTGCATTTAATGAACGAGACGGGCAATCTGGTTGAAATAAAAACAAATATAACGATTTAAATTAAAATAAATTTGAATTTAAAAGAGTAAACTGAGAAAAGAAACGCTAAATCGCGATGCTTCCCTTTGCAATACAGAGGCTGCCGGCCGCCAGTCCATTGGTCGCCGACAGCCGTAGTGGTGGCGTTTGTTGTTCATCTTTGAAGCATAAAATAACTTTAAAATTATGAATTTAAATTGAATTCATGATTTATTTGTTATTTTTGTTTAATTCAATGAAAAGGAGGGAAAGATTTCCTTCTTTTCATTTTTCACGTTTCGGGGTTTCAGCCGTCCGTTCGACGTTCGTGAATATACACCCCGCATCCCATCTGGGAAGGAAACCTGTATTTGTGTGTATTTTTTTGTTTTAATTCGTGTAGAAAATGAAGGAATTGAATTCAAGTCCTCACGAATCCTTGCTTTCCCCTCGCGGCGGCGAAGGTGAAGGCGCCGATGGCGAGAGATCACCGCGGGTTTCTTCAGGCGATGCTTCGGGTTTAGAGAGGCAAAGTTCAGCTATTCCCAGTCCTAAGGAAAAGGAGAAGGAGAAGTTTAAAAGTGCTTTAGAACGAGGCCATTGGATGGCTCGCCGTGTAGCGCGGCGGGGATATTTGAAATCGAAGCAGTTTGTTGCTCATCAATACACCTTATTTAAGCAGGATGCAAAGAGAGGGCATAAGATTATTCGTTGGTTGAGTATAATTTCCTGTTTTCTGTTGATTCCCGGTATATTCTTGGATCTGTTGACGCTGGCATTGACCCTCAGCCCCGCTGAGTTTCTTGCTAATGTGTACTGTCTCTTAGGTGCTCTATTGATTATTGCAGCTGAATTCGCTCGTCAGAGCCCTCGCTTTGGTGTTCGATCGATGCTGCATTATTATCTTCGCTTTGTGGAGTTAAGTGCAGGGAGAGGTGTCGTTCAACTTTTCGTTGCTTCTTTTTGTGTGTCTATACGCTATGCTTTGAATCTTTTCAAGTTTATACCAGGGCTTATTCTGCTCCTCTGCGGCTGTATTAACCTCATTTGGGGAACGTATGCTGCATGCAAGTTAAATGCAATGCTGGCTCGTCTTCGTGATGCTGAAGGAGCAGATAAACAAGAAGATGAAGAAGAAGAAGGATTAAAGCCAGAAGAAGACGAAGAAAGAGGGGAAAAGCACAAAAGAAAAAGTTTAACTGAACAATTAGATCTTATGGAAAGAAAATTTGAAGCTCTAGATAGAAGAGGAGACGGGGTTCTCACGAAAGAAGACTTAAAAGAAGCAGCAGCTGAGATGAATCTCCTCTTAAATGAAGAAGAAATAGAGACGGTTTTCGATAGTCTTGATACAGACAAAGACGGAAAAATTGATAAAGATGAATTCGAAAGATGGTGGCTTTCAAACAAAGGCGTCAAACTTCTTTAAACTTCTTCAGGATCTCCCCTTCATCGCTTGTTCATCTCTTTACTTGTTATAGTGATTATACTTATACTCATTTTTATGCAAAGATATATATATATATATATATAATGTATATATACATATATATGTTCTGCATCTATGTGTTTAAACGGTGTGGAGACCTCCAAATATAGCTATACACAAACACGCATGCATACACACGCACACAAGCACAGATATATAACTATATATATATGCATGTTTATGAATAAATTAATATGCTTATATGTGCATATATATATATATACTCTTTATAAATACATAATTGTGGTAGGAGGTAAGGAGCCCAGTATAAGGAATTCTTTAAGCCTTTATATATGCAAATAGAATTGGAGTTTAATTTAATTGTTTGCAATAAATTTTAAAATTCTAAGCCAAGAGACCCGCCGACGGCTTTCTTCTTCTCCCCTCACGGGGGCCGTTCGGCCAGTGAGGGTTTTGTCTTTTTTCTTCTTTTTCTTTCATCTATGAGAGAAACAACAGCAATAACTTTTATTTACTTTCAAGTGTAAACACTAAAATGCAGAGCGTTGCATGCACTTCTTCTGCCTCCTTCCCGATATATCTCCCCCAAAAGAGAAATTAAATTAAATATTCACTAATTCATTATGCTTTAAGGCAATATTTAGATAATATTTAGATAGTATTCATCGAAGCAGAGAGCTGTCTATACACCGCACGAATTTATGCAGAAAGCAAATGTTTCTGCGCGTCTGATGCATCTTTTTCTGTCCTGTTTTCTCTTCTTTTTTTCGTTTGAAAATGCAATTGGTTGAGTTTACTTCTTTTTATTTTGTTATATTTCTGTTTTTCTTCGTTTGCTGCGCCGCGCAAACTCCCCCAGCGGCTCAACCTGCAGCTCCTCCTGCTGCAAATTCTTCACCAGCTGCAGCTTCTCCTTCAGATTTAGAAGGAATTCCAAACGTAGACGTCAACATTGTTCCTCAAAAAAGGTGTTTTTAGATTTATTTTCTTCTCCTTGCATGCATGCATGCAACGTTATTTGTTTCTACGTATTTCAGCTGGCAGACATCTCGCGCAGCGCTGGGGGAACTACGGCGAAAATTATCTCGTTTTATTCGTGAAGGTATTTTAAATGACTTTTAAACGAAATAAATCAAGAAAAAGAATATAACAAATCTGTAACACTCCATAGAAATCAGCAACGCCGCACATACATGGGCGCGGCAGACAAACGCAAGACAAAGAATTGCAAGTACGGAAGACGACATGAAATAGAAAAAGGAAAGACAAATAATTAATTTAATTTAATTTAATTCAGCTAACGAACGGCTGGGAGTTTACGCAAGAAGTTCTTCGGTAAGCGAGCAGAATAGAAAGAAAAAAGAAATGATTTATTTTAAATGAAGACGTAAGAAAGTAATAATTTTAATTGCAACTTAAAGAATAAAGCAGCTGAGATAAAACAAAAAGAAGAATGAACAAAACCTTAAGCAATAACAAACAAAACCGATAAAGGAAGGAGAAGCAGCAGAGTAGCAAACTAAATAGAAATACATTAATCCCTGTAGAAGCAGGTGTTATTCTAACAAATCTATTTTATATATTATATAAATAATATAATTGTTTATATTATTGCAGCCGCCGTCTGCCGCTCGTCCTGCTCGTTTTCAAAGTTTTCCTTTGCATGCAGCATCAGGTTTGTGTCTTCTTTCTCTCTTTGCTTCTGTCTCTTTACAAACATTTAAACAGCAGCAGCAGCACCAGCAGCAGCAGCAACAGCAGCAACAGCAGCAACAGCAGCAGCAGCAAATGGAGATAAAGAGCTGCTGCTGCTGCCGCAGGAAAGTGATGAAGGCGCTGCAATACGAGATGATGTTATGAACATCAAGGAGGTGAATAAAAGCAATTCTTTATATATCTAATTCTTAATATATCTATATATATTACAATATTTATACTCTTTAAAACCCTTTATTTGTGTTTTACAGAGAGAGACAGCTTGTGATGCCGGCAACAGTTTTATTTGCAATGCAAACAACCAAACAAAGAATGAAGAAGAAGAAGAAATAAAAGAAACAAAAGAAAAAGATAAGATAAACAACGACAAAGAAAATAAAGAAGCTTTAATACAAGATGGGCCCCTTCGTCTCTTTGATGATTAAAGAAGAAAAATAAAATAAACTTATTATGTTTTCTGTTTATACTGCAATAAATTAACTTTCTTTACTTTTGCTTTTAAGGGAGTATACAATAAATACCGTTTGAATCAAAAACGCGTATTTTTATATTTTTCTAGACATATATATAATATATATATATATATTTTATATATTATATATATATATTAATATGCATTATTAGTTTGTTTGTTTATTTCTTATTTGCTTTTTTATTTGGGTTTTGTTGCTGTGTTTATTTGCTATTTCACTTTTTATATTTTCTTCGCTTTGTTTATTTGTATTCTCTGTTCTTCACTTATTTATATTTAATCTGTCTTTTATTTTTCTAAGTTATTTTTGCTGTGCCTCACAACCACAAACTATCCGCTAGCAATATTATATATATATATATATATGTAGATT